CCCGACTGTGAGTACAAGGGAGAGGCAAAAAGGGAAAGCAGTTTAGTGTAATTCTGGGCTGAAAGAGCTCCAAGAGCCTTGTCCAGAGGCCATGGTACTGAGCCCAAGATCTGAAATGCTGGAAGGCTCTTCGATGTCTGCGTTACAGTGGCTCCAGTACAAAGCTGCACAGATCAGATGCATTGCTGAACACACTCTGGTAATACTATGAGATATTTTAGGTTATTGGTTTTCTAAACTAGGAGGACACCTTGTCCTTAAGTAATGTGGCACGTGATACTCAAATACCACTGATATTTGCTCATTTCCCCTTTGAATAAACAAATGAGAACATCTACTATTGGAATGCAATACTTGGCTCTTGATAAAAAAGCTTAAAGGAAATTCAGCTTTCAAAGTGAACCAGGTGATGTAATTTCAATAAGGTGCCCCCTTAAAATACATACTTCTGAAACACTATGATGTCACCATCCATGAGTTCATCGAGAGCTTTATCAAGAGATACATCATAGTCTTGAATCCTTTCTGTTAAATTGGGTTTAACTTCCTGCAATGAAGAACAAAAATTTTTGATCACAAAATAAAAGGCAAAAATAAAGATCACAATAGCGAAGAAATCATCAGATAAAGTAACCTGTGCATTCTTTTAAGTGAAACAAATGGATAGATATGCATCTCAACAAATCCAGTGCATGTATTATTAAATATCTATATGCATATTACATATTTATACTTGCAGGCTGACCTCTGGGCTGACCAGGGATAAAAGCACTTGTGTAAACAAACTGGAATGACACTGTAACCCTGACCTGCCCAGAGCAAGGAGTACAGCTTTGCTGTTTAGGACAGCCTGGAACCACCAGAGAGAGCAGCAGGCCTGCCAGCAGAAATTGCAACTAAAACCCAATTTCTTGTTCTTACTCTAGCAAGGACTTTGCCTTGGCAAGATCTGCATTATCAGCACTCAATAAATGTAGCAGTTATAAAGGTTCATGGCTTGGGCAGAAACATCATAGCAGACTAAGGATTTTGTTTGCTGACTTTGGCTTGGGGAAGGAAGGAGAAGATGCAACATTTTCTCAACTTCACTAAGGTGGACACTGAAAACACAATGGCCAATAATGTCAGCAGCATTAGCTCCTCTAACTCAGGAACACAGGTTTAACAAACCAAAGCTGCTCATATAGGACCCCATAGAGATTATTTTTTTGGTTTTAAAGCTTTACACTCTTATCTGTTTAATATAAAATCTGTTCTGAAGTTAACTCTCTGCTGCTACTCTGTTGCAGCACTGTAGACCTCAAAGCCAGGGATTACCATTGTTAGGAGAAACTTTTTAAAATTAATAAATCTTTTTTTCTCTTTACAGCATGCAAAAGACAAAGAAGTTACAAAACGTCTGTCAATCCCAACCTCATAGAGGATAAGGTTAGTTTCTTGTGGAAATCCTGCTCTCTCACACATAACTGGAAGCAAGTCACCTGTTGGAAAAGAAAAGAAGGAATTTGAAATGTGTTGCACTAATTGCTAGTGAGACCAACCACAGAAAGGAAAGAATCTCTTTTTTTACCCTGGGTAGATGGTTCTACAATGGCTAAGAAAGACAGACTTTCACATTGAAGTTTCTCTTGTTGACATTCAACCAGACACACATTTATGGTTTCCTTCCACTTCATTTGAATAACAAAAATATGTGGAAGTTTAGTGAAAATCCAAGAGATGAAATAACACTGCCCCTTCCCCACAGAAAAGGTTTAGTGTCTTAAAAAAAAAAATAAATTAATGACAGCTAAAATAAAAAATTAAAAAATATGTATAAGTTAACAAAATGAGACATTCAAAATGAAAAATTAAAATATTTTTAGTCAGTGGGTTATTTGCTGAATTCCTTAAATGGGGACCCATATGAAAGTCAAGGCTCACATGCAATCCAGGCTGAGCAGCTGCTCAGGCTGCCATAGTGAAAGGTTGTACAAGAGTTATTTGAAAAGCTATTTGGGAGGGAATTATCAAATCCCAAGGCTTTACAACAGGTTTGAAACAGCTGTAACACCTGGTGAGTACAGCAACAATGAATTCACCACCTCTGGGATTTTGAGGGTCAGACCTGCAGAAAGTATCACTGACACCACATGGGGAAGAAAACTCTCAGGTGCTGGGTGAAATAAGAATTTGCTTTTGTGGTACACCTTTGGTTTCAGTGATGGAATTATTATTAAAGAGAAGTTTGTTCAATCTGCTTTAAAAACTTCAATGTGAAAATGAAATTGAAATTCAGAACCACCTATTTTACAGGATATAGGGGTGTAGATATGTCCACAATAATTCAAACTCCGAGTCTTCGGATCATACATCTTGAGAAACAACATTACATCATCTACAAATTAAAAAACAACATTTAATTTTAAGTAAGGCTTGGTGAGGGGGAAGGAGTTCACCTAGATGTTTTTATTTACACAGCAACAAATAAGTGTCTTTGATTTATTAATTCAAATAAATCAAAGTGCTCTT